AATGCCTATCTACTTATAATATTGGAAAGGTCTTTAGAATTTCACAGGTAAAAATACCACTGCAGCTAAAAAAACAAAACCATCTCCTCCTGGACAAACTTGGGATTTTAGTTTTCCCCCCAGAGATATAAGGAAGATGGTGTCATGGTCACAAGAAAGACATTTGGAGTGTTCCCTCAGCACAGACTGTAAAGGAGGTTCTGCCTCCCGATTTCTAATGACCCAACCCCAGCAGCTTATAAACAGCATCTTATGGGAATTACAGGAAGCTAATGCTGACAGACTGGAGGCGTCAAGAGCAGCAGTTAATTAGACATCTCAGGTTCCCTCAGACTCTAATGACAATGGCGCTTCGATACTCTATAGTTCCTTTTCCCACAGACACTTATCTCTATCTAATGGGCTCTCCCTGTAGAATCCCAGTCATCCAGCACAGGAGGAAGCACACAGAACCACATCGATGTGCTTTGTTCTCCTGACAAGTATGTACACTGAGCAAGCTGCAGTACATTCTAGTTCAATTCTTTCCCATGTGTTGGACAATCAAACAGTAGATGGATGGATGGATGGGTGGATGGATGGATGGGTGGGTGGGTGGGTGGATGGATGAGGCCCCTTTCTTGTACCTGTGATAAGCTTACTTGCAGCTTCCCCAAAGGGTAATGCTGGTGTCCAGCCACCTCCCTTGCCCTAGCTCGCAGAGTGGTGTTAACTAGCTACATGCAGAGCATGCAGAGTCTTCCCTCGTGTAAACACCCTCACAGGTGTGCCTCACCAGTATCCTAGGTGTTTCTTAACCAGTCAACAGTGGCAATCAACCATCACACTGGAGATTCCTCTTGTACAAGAGAAAATTTCGTTTTCCAATAGAAACGAGGCTGGCCCATTGTGGGGTCCCTTCCTGTGGTGTCTGAATGAGAAACGGCCCCCACAGGCTCATGTATTCCGATGCTTGGTCCCCAGTTGGTAAGGGAAGGGAAGGGTTATTGGAGGAGGAAAAGTCGCTGGGGTGGGCTTCCCGGTTTCAAAAGCCCATCCGTTCTCAGTTAGATTTCTCCGTCTTGTGTTTGTGGATCAGGGTGTGAGCTCTCAGCGTCAGGGTCACGCCCAGCTGCCTGCTGCCATGCCCCATGCATGATCATGCATGATGGCCATGGACTCACTCTCTGAAGGGGTAAGCACCCCAAATAATTTTCTTGTGTAAGTTGCCTCCGTCATTGTATAACCAAGACATCTCCCTACGAGCTGTTGGTCAGGAGGCCCCAAACAAATACCCACCCCCAATAGGCTATTGCCACTGCTACTGGTTGTCCCCCATAACTAGACGGAAAGAGCCTGTTGGTGCAGATATGACATACTCTGGTTGTAGGACACAGACAGATCAAGCTGGAACTGATCTGTAAAGACTTCCCCTGCAGGCTAGCTTTCAAAGTGGCAGAAATGCTGTGTAGGCTGTTAGGGGAGAAAAACCCACCGACGGACTTCTCCTGTGATGAGCTCTGAACAACACTGCCTGACCTGCCATGCCAGACCTGCTCTCTGGTGCCCAGTAGCACAAAGGTTATAAAAGCAATCAATCATTTTGGATCGACTTTAAGGCCTATCGCACAGGACACAGGAGGGAATTCGTGCTTGAGGCTATATAAACCTGGCCAAAATGTCCACCTGAGTGACTTCAGAGCGGGCATCATGTCACCCGACTGCACTGTTGGGGCTGTGGTGGCTAAATCCTAACTGTGACTTTAAGATGGGGCCATCCTTGTAAAAATCAGTTGCCTGAGCGACAGAGGGTAGCACAGCATCCTGCACACAGAATATGTGTCAGGGGTGACAGACACAGCTAAGTGGATGAAGGTTCCATGGTGCCTTCGCTGATAGCAGAGGGGTGTGTCTTCCCTCCCTCCTGCTTCCTGTCTTCCTCCCTATCTCTCGCTCCCTCCTTCCCTCACCCCCCCCCCCTCTTCCTTAGGTGGATTGGAATGAAAATCCAGGCAATTCTTCACCATGTAGTTCTGCTAGGCCTAGAGCTCACTAGGCCTAGAGCAGCGGGCTGGCTTTGAACTCCCAGTGGCATGCATGCCTTTGCCCTCACACGCTGGGATCTCTTTGCCCAGCCCGAAGTCTTTCTGATCCACCTGGACAAAGGCAAGCTTTAGTCTGTGTTCCAGGTGCTGGTTCTTGACCAACACAGTTTAACAAACCTGAATTTAACTCTGCAGGGATTTAAACACCGGACTTCAAAGAGCCTGTTAGTTGTGTCATTAGATCTCCAGACAGTCTCTAAACCAGGGACATTTGCAACTCAGAGACTCAAGCCCTTCTGTTCCCATGAGCCAAACCCGGACTGCTAAACTCAGCTGTGTCAAATAAAGGTTTTTTTGTTTTGTTTTGTTTTTTCACTTATAGTATTCATTGCTTTGGGATACTTTACAACAGGTAAAATACAAGTATGGGAAGAAGAAGTTGTATTTCTAAAGAAAGTAGATAAAAATTAGAAACACTAAAACGAGAGGTTTATCCCCCAATTTAGATGTTAAGCAACTGTAAAAGACAGGAGGAAAATAAGACAAAATCTCAACTAGTCCATGCAGACAACCTCGAGTACCTTTAACGCTTATCCTACTCTGAAATAACAAAACTGCAGTGAGCATTGGCATTGCAAAGTCTAATCCGCAGGACTTTAAAAATTTTTGTTGTTGTTGTTGTTACTAGAAGGCTGGTGAATGAATGCGCATTTGATAATTTCAAGGCAAAATAAAATACAGAGAAGTGTTCATAAGGCTAGCTGAGGTGCAGGCTTATAATCCCAGCTATTAAGGAGGCTGAGGCAGGAGGATTGAAAATTCAATATCAGCCTACGATCAGCCTAAGCCACTGAGACACTGTTGCAAAATAAAATGTAAAAGAGAGGCTAGGAGCCCGACACTGATGGTGCAAGCCTTTAATCCCAGCACTGGGGAGGCAAAGGCAGGCTGATCTCTATGAGTTGGAGGCCAGCCTGGTCTACAGAGCAGGTTCCAGGACAGACTCCAAAGCTACAGAGAAAAGGTTTTCTCAAAAAACCAGAGAGACAGAGAGAGAGAGAGAGAGAGAGAGAGAGAGAGAGAGAGAGAGAGAAGGAGGGAGGGAGGGAGGGAGGGAGGGAGAGAGGGAGAGAGGAAGGGAGGGAGGGAGGGAGGCTGGGGAGAGGAAGGGAGGAACAGGATGGGGGGGGGGAAGGAGACCTGTTTTATGGTTCCTGCTTTTAACTGACTTTTAAAACTAGTCAACAACCAATATGCACACAACCTGTGCATTCTACATGCCACCAACATTGTTCAGGCAGGGTCACCTCCTCCTTCCAGAGTTACTGGGTAAGGCATCACTTGGGAGCTCTTAGGTGGGGACAGCTGGGTTGTTGGGAGGTGTCTGCGCTCTGTCCCATCACCTGCCACGAAATGACAGGAGCCAATAGGAAGTTAGAAAGCTTTGGGGACAGACGGTGGATACACCCACCCTCTCTGATGCTCTCATATATATGAAAATCCCAGGCTTGAGTGTCAAGATTAAGTGTGAACCTCAATCTGCCCCGCTCGGCAACACAAAGCTAACTCATGCTTAGCGTTTGACGTAGATTTAAGGGCGGGTTTCCGAGGTGGTGTGCACATGAAATGGCCCCACAGGCCAGTGCATTTCAACACTGGCCCTCAGCTGCAGGTGCTGTTTGCGAAACTTATAGAGCCTTCAGGAGGAGGTGGCGTCCCGCAGGAGGAGGTAGGTCTACGAGGTCATTTCAGCCACTTAGGATCCCACTGCCTCTGGATCCCACTGCCGTAGAGATGCTGCCCACCCCCACTCTCTTCCTTGCTGTGGTAAATACGAAGGGCATGAGGTACACTAGAGTTTGAGGAGCAGAGTCATCGGATGAGTCCTCTCAACAATTACCACCGAGAAACAGCAACCCGCAAGTACGGGCAGTCCTCCATTCACTGGGGATAAAACAATTGTCACCATGATGAATGGTCCTCTGGGGCTTTTCCTTTTCCTTTTCCTTTTCCTTTTCCTTTTTTTTTTTTTTTTTTTTTTTTAAATCTAACAAAATGAGTGACAACTTATTTCAAAATAAGTAAAGCAGTCATATCTGCTGAAGGTCCATGGCAGAGGAGAACATTAAAAAAAAAAAAAAAAAAAAAAAAAAATGAGATTTTTAAATCAGAACTGTTCGGGTTCCAGGTTGACAGCATTAAATAACTCACTAATTTCAGCCCTGGCTTTAAGCTTTGACTGTGGTCCCCCATTCAGGGTGTGCATCTCTTCTGAAAGTAAATATTTATTTTTATTGTTTCACGGGAAAGGAGCGGAAATACCAAAGCAGCAACTATAATTTTGTGGAATCGACTGCCGGAGAATTTCACTTAATATAAACCTGTGGCCCAGCTGTGGATTAGGGTTAGAGTTACTTTTCTATTTGAAGCCGACCGGGTTTGTGCACACGTAGCTAATCTTTCTCCTGCCAACACTGTTGTACAGTCTAACTGCCTGTTTCCTCCCTCCCAGAAGGCATGAGAAACCACGAGACATTTACTATTAAGACCAAAGAATACTTTACATGTACCTGTGATGGAATAATATATCTTCTCTTTTCTATTTTTGGCTTTCTTTGGGACAGAGGCCTGAAGCTTTCAATAAACACGCTGCTAAAAGTTCAGTAGGACAAGTACTCCTCCCCTCCCCCCAACTTACTGTGTACTTTTAACAAGAACCTCCTGTTCTGCATACCTACATCCAGCTGTGTTATGTGTAACAGTAGCGATTTTATGTTTTACAAGGGGTTGAACATGGAAGGAGGAGGAAGCAACATTGAGTACATTTGTGACAGAGACCCAAAATTCAAAAGCCTTCCTACCTCCAGGGGTGAGTTCCCAGCCCAGAGAAATGAGCACCCTCACACCCTGGGAGGCGGAGGGTGGCCTGACCAGGCCTTGTCACAGGCTGAAGCAACGGCCCTCTGTGGCGCTTACTTGAGGGCGGTTCTGTAGTGGTAGATGGCTTCCTTGTTCCGACCTTGGTCTTTCAGGAAATTGGCATAGTTGTAATGAACCTTCGCATTGTGGGGCAGAGTCTCAACTCCAGACCTACAAAGGAAATTAAAAAGAAAGAAAACAAAAATTACGCTGCTCTCAGACTCCTCTGTGCTTTACCCCAGCTTTCATGAAGCTGCCATTGGATGCCCACTGTTTTCTTATCACACAGGCTTCTGGAGTTTGTGAGTGATACCAGTGACTACGCAGGGAAGAAGTGAAGGCCTTGGCCAGGGGTGCACAACTTAATAACTGAGGGTGAACAAAATGTTCTCCTTGGGGAAGCACGGGGCCCTTCGCTCTGCTGGGGACACACCTGGGGCTTGGTAAGGTGTGGCCACCTTTGCTGAGGCTTTCTGTTGGGCCTAACAGAAACAAGAACTTTCTTTCTCTCAACTTTGGTGGTTAGAACTATCTGCTCAGTTCTTCACCGTCTGGGCAGGCCCTGCTCCTGGCCTGTGGACGTCTACTGTCTACGGGTAGGTCACTGTCCGGGCGTGAACATAACATTAGTAGGGAAATCCCACACATGGTATAAAAGCCATTAGGTGGAGAAACACATTAGGACCAATTCTGCTGAAATGACAGCCTCTTTATATTATGCCTCACTCTGGCTGGGGCACAAGCGACTGACTATAGCCAGGCCTGATGGGACCATGGGAAGCTAGAGACTATCCCAAAGGGACTGCTCAACTAGACACTGGAGAAGACAGATTTACACCCTGCTGCCTACGTACAGACACTGAGTATTAGTCTCAATTCCTGTGGACTTAACTCAGGGACACACCGGCCAACCGCACGGTGGCTCTATTTTCAATCCTCCGTGAAACTTCTGTTTCCAAGGATGGCTGAACTGGTTTCCATCCCCACCTAGAGTCTCCAACCAAGCACTCGGCTGCATTTATTCCTGGCGTGTTGAAAACAACCGTTCTCCGGAGCCCACGCTCCTGCTAATGATCCTAAGAACGTTACACCAGCTACAGAAGCCTTGCGTTTGGTGTAGCCCCATTTCTTCGTTTCTGCTTTTATTGCTTTTATTGACCCGCGCTTACCCTTCCTTGTGACATCCGAGAAATCCCTGTCAGGGGTAGTATCTAACAGCCTTCGCCCTTATTCACCGTAGCCGTGAACAGATTGGAACAACAACAAAAGAGAAACTGGGACTCATCTGCACAATGGGATGTCATCATGTCAGCTTTGCAAGAGGAGACTGTGCAATGGTTGATGCATGGAAGGCATTATTGAAGCCACGTATAGGAAGAGTGCCGTGCGCCTAGGAATTCAAACCCACGGGAACAGAGAGCAGGATGGCAATAACAGGAAGAAGAGAGGGAGAAATAAACACAGACAGAGTGTTCAATAAAAGGATGCAAACCCAGTTAGGTGGGGTGATCCTAGAGTTTACTCTGCATACCCTTCATTGAAACACTGTAATCTTGTTTATTTTTATTCTGTCAATGAAAGACTCGATGAACCATGAAGTTCACCAAAAATAAAGTGGAGTGGGTGTCCACACCGTCCAAGTGCTGAGATCACAGTGATGTGCCAACACTCAGCATTTGTTAACGTTGTTTTTAAGACCCTTTCTCTCTCTCTCTCTCTCTCTCTCTCTCTCTCTCTCTCTCTCTCTGTGTGTGTGTGTGTGTGTGTGTGTGTGTGTCTGTGTCTGTGTGTGTGTTGCCTCCATGTTGCCTGTGAAGTGTCCTCAGAGGCCAGGAGAGGGCATCTGATCCCTTGGGGCTAGAGTTACAGATGGTTACATGTGAGCTGTCATATGGGCGTCAGGAATAGAAGGCTCTATGGAAAAGCAGCTAGTGCTCTTAACTCCTGAGCCGTCCATCTCCCCAGCCTTTACCACTCAGCATTTTAACACATGAATTTCACACATCTCCCCCACACCTCTTATTTGTAGACGACTTGAGAAATAGAAGAAATAGTAAAGAACAAAACAAAAACGGCCACCTTCGTCACATGCCTCTCCCGGGGTTTAGAACAGCCACTTAACGTTGTTCAGGTTATTGGATAGCAGGTTGGTGGAACTGTCTCAGGTTGCTAGCTAGAGAGTAAACATTAAGACATCACCGGTGGCAGCCCAAGCATCAGGGAAAGGAAGGGAGGAGAGGCCTGCTCTGGCCCAACGTTTCACACAGCCACAACAGATGGCCATACCTGTCTACCACTCATCTTGTGCCCACCTACCATGTGTCTAATCATGTCACTGTATGGCAGATGCTAACTACTGAGTCCTATGATATAGATGAAGAGGTCAGAGTCCTGGTAAGTATTGGGGCAGAATTTCAACCAAAGCCAATATCAAGTTCATTCCTCAATCTGGTTAGTGTATGCTGCTGAGAGAGGATGCCAGTGACATTTGCTCTAAGTTAGCGTCCAGGCCCTCCTCTCCCAGTCTCCTTCCTCTCTCTCTCTCTCTGTCTCTGTCACCCTGTATCTTTCTCCTCTATGACCCCAGAACACAGAACTCAGATTACACAGTTGTAATCTGAGTGAGAACTTTACACAGTGTTTACCCCATGGCAGACATCGTCGGAGGTATTTCTCATGCGCTGTTCTATCCTTACATTACACCCTGGGTAATAAACACTGTCGTTCTCCAGTTTTCAATGCATTTTAAGAGATTTGCCTGAGAGCAAGCAATTAAGCAGGTGAGTTTAGCATGCAGTCAGGAAGTCTAACTCCAGATGTTGCCTCCAGTCACCCACTAACCCTGCCCTACCTCAGAAGTCGGGAGTGAAGTGTCCGAGTTGAGTTCAGCATGGTTTCTCATAGATGAAGACATGCATATCTAGCCTTAGAGAAAAAGGTTCTGCAAGCCTCCAGCTTTCCCCAGGACTTAAGAGCCGAAGTTTCATTTAAAGGATCAGTTATTTTGATTGCACCACACACACACACACACACACACACACACACACACAATCACCTGATTGATCTTCAAAGGCCTGATGATGGGCGATGTTATTCTGTACATGTGTTTCTCTTACTGGTTGATGAATAAAACACTGATTGGCCAGGAGAGGCGGGGAGAGACTCCATGCTGCTGGGAGTAACATGCCAGATCATGGGTGAGCCACAGCCTCATGACAATACACAGATGAGCAGAAATGGGTTACTAATTAAGAGAGAGCTAGCCAGTGAGGATCCCTAGCCACGGGCCAGCTTTTTATAATTAATATAGTGCCCGTGTGCTTATTTGGGACTGAAGGGTGGCAGGACCTGGAGGGAGAGGAACCTCCATCTTCATCCTCCCCAGCCAAAGTCCCTTCCAGCACAGCTGTGGAATGGTTTTACTGTAGTGAACCACTACTGGATCCCAACATACTTCTGCCAAGAGGGATAGAAGGTCTGGAATGCAAAGTCAGTGTATGTTCCACTTTTATCATTCTTGCTGTTTTTAGTTTTTTTTTTTTTTTTTTTTTCATTACTGGTATTCGCTGCAGAGGGCTTGAACTCTAGCTTAATATCCTTGGAGCAAACACTGCCTCTCACCGCCACCACCTAAGTTGTTTTGATTAAGCAATAAACATTACGGAAGATGCCATTCCCCAGTGTGTGGCTTTATCCAGGGAAAATGCTCAACGCAATAGCAGAATGGTTGGGAAGTCTTTCATAAAAAGTCAGCTACTGGAAGCGAGAGAAAGATTACAACTTAGACCAGGAGGAAGTCTTGTGTCTGAACTTCAATGCCCCTAGACTAAGGCATGAGGAGGGAGGGGCCCCTGTGTTCTATGAGAACCACAGTGAGTGAGGAGGGCTAGGGCAGAACCGGAGAGTCCTTTAACAGGTGTGTTAAGGAGAGAATGCATTAAAACAAGCAGAAGCAGAAACAGCTGGGTGGCGGGAAGAGTCTCTGTCTTCTGTGGTGTAGCCTTGGGTGAACTATTTATGATCCTATAAACCAACCTTCACTGGCTAACGGTCCTAATGGAACTCACTGGGTCATTACAAAGATGGGGAGGGGGGAGGGGGCTGAGAGGCTCAGCAGTTCAAAGCACGGCTGCTCTTAGAGAGGACCCGAGTTTGATTCCCAGCACCGACATGATGGCTCACAACCATTTGTAATTCCAGTTCCCAGGGATCTGATGCCTCCTTCTGGCCTCTGTAGGTATCAGACACATAAATGGTTGTAGACATACATGCAGACAGAATACTCATACACATAAAAAAATAAAATGAAAGAAAATAAGAACCTTAAAACTTGTTAAACAAAGAAACAAAAGTAGTCAGGGTATCAGTTTGGAAGGAGGTGACCAGTGGACAGGGGACAAAAGACTGAATGGAGGAGAATGAATGTGGTCAAAATCCCTTGTGTTCATGTAGAGAGTGTCAACATGAAACCCATTATAATCTCTGGTAAACAAGAAGCCTCATCTTACAGCCGTCACCATCACTCTGTGGGAACCAGAGCTGCAATGGCTCTGTGCTGATAAATGACACCCAAACTCGCACACAAAGGTAACTACATTACAAATGCTCAAGATCAGCACGTACTTGTCTTTTTCTCTTTCTGAGGAATGGTCTCACTGTGCAGCCATGGCTGCCCTGGAACTCTACGTAGGCCAGGCTGACCTCAGACTCACAGAGATCCGCCTGCTTCTGCCTCCCAAGTGCTGAGATTAAAGACATGAGCCACCACACCCAGCCTCAGACACATTATCTTCAAGAGTAGCAGAGCCCAATGAACATCTGCCTTATTTGCTCATGCATGCATGCATGCATTGCATTCATTCATTGACTTCTTCACAACTAATACTGATATTCATACTTTGGGAAAGGCTGAAAGCTATAGATTAAAACACACACATATATGCACATATATGTACATGTGCACATATACACATACACGTATACACATGCGTGAATATATGCACACATGTATGTGTTTAGGTACATATAAGATGTGTTTACGTATTTGTATACACACATACATACATACATATACACACACACATACATATGCACTCCAATACACACATGTACACACTCACATATGAGTGATGCTAGGGATCTAACTCAACGTGCCTGGCAAGTGATCCAACCCTGCCCTGAGCTGCTAATACCAACCCAGCAACATGCTTGTATTCAGAAAAAATTCCATCACAGAGGGGAGAAAAAAAAAATCAGAAAAAGGAAGTCTTTTATTTTCTCACCTAAAATTAATGTTTGAAATAAACAATGAAATCATAGATCAAGCTTTAATGCTCTGGAATATTCCAGAGAGGGTCACCTACCTTCCCCTCACACCAGCAGGCTGAGTGATGAAGCGAGGCGTGTGGATTTCATTTGGTGACTGATTTTACAGCCCAGCCCCTCGGCGGGTATTTCCACCCCAACCACGGACCCAGAATCTCCTCATTTTTATAAGCCCACTCCCAGTGAATTCTTGGTAAAGTTTATATATCATGTTTTAAAAAACCTAAAATTAAACCCCCAAATAAAATTATATCTTCCATTTCGAATTTATTAGAAGCAGTTTTCCAGATTAGTACAAACTATCATAGCCATTTGTCATCGATGAGAGAGTGGGAAGAAATGTACATTTACCTGCTTAATCATACCTGAATAAGGACTCTCTCGACAGCCAGATTTCATTCTGCTTCACGGTTTTCCAGGAAAACAGCAGGAGCAGCAGCCCAGTGGACACCATCAGGGAGGTGGCCCCACACCGGCTCAGACCAGCACAGAGCTTGTTCAGTCCATGCACCAAGAGAATGCAGTAGCCCATGCTGGAACACACAAAAGAGCAGGGTGGCTGTGGGCGAGAGGTCACTGTGGGGAGCCACTGTTTGCGGGGTGGCTGTGGGTAGGAGGTCACTGTCTGCAGGGTGGCTGTGGGTAAGAGGTCACCGTCTGTGGGCTGGCTGTGGGTAGGAGGGTCACTGTCTGCGGGCTGGCTGTGGGTAGGAGGTCACTGTGATGATTTAAATAAGAATGGCCTCCATAGGCGCATATATTTGGGTGCCTTGTCACCAGACAGTGGCACCATTTGAAAGTATTAGAAGGATCAGACGGTGTGGCCTTGTTGGAGAAAGTGTCATTGGGGGGTGGGTTTTGAGGTTTCAGAAGCCCATGCCCGGCCCAGTCTCTCTCTTCACCCACATATCAGGGTGTATGAAACAAAGCTGCTGTTTGAGCATCTGCCTGCATGCCACCATGATGGTAACGGACTGAACCTCTGAAACTGTGAGTCCCAATGCCTTGGTCATGCTTGTAACACAAATAATAAAAGACCCGGTGACAGAAATAGTGATTCAAGCTGAGGGTCAGACGAGCAAAGCAGCCAAGCCAGTAGATTTTACCCAGCTGAAATGGCAATCCTGTCTCCATGAATCCTCAGAGGCGAAAGCTCTCAGTTCCTGTCTCCTCCTGCCTTACACTCCCCTCTCTGCCCAGCCATATCATTCCAGTCTCCACCTCCCTAGAGGTAGGATTGAAGGCCTGTGTTCCCAGGTGCTGGGATCAAAGGTGTGAGCTCTGTTACTCTTTACTATCGTGTAGGACAGGGTGGCCTTGAACTCAGTCAGAGAGATCCATCTGTCTGTCTCCCGAGTCCTGGGATTAAAGGTATGTGCCACCACTGCCTGGCTAGCCAGTATGAGTGCTGGGATTAAAGGCGTGTATCACCGCTGCCCGACCTCTGTAGCTTGTGGCTGATTTTGCTTTCTGACTCCTCAGGCAAACTTTGATAAATGATAAGTAATATATCACCACACATGGTGTCTCTTCACCGCAACGGAACAGTGGTTAAGATGGTCACTGCGGGTTGGGGCTCATTACTGGTGAGCAGTTCCCCAAGCATGCTATTAGGACAAACAGGCCTGTCCTGTGCTAGAGGGACACATATGAATTCCCCTGTCACAGGCAGGGGTGGGCTGTCTGAGGCACTAGTTCTCACATGATGGCTCACTAGCTCTCCAGCATTGCTGGAACCCATAGGCTCAAAGCCTCAGGCATGTTAGCCCTACATGGGACCTGAGGGGGTTCTCCGGCCCAGGCTTCCTCATGCCTCCATCACAAGGTGTGTCCGAATTCAGAGCCTGCAGGTCCTACCCCAGCAGCCTGGAGGACCATCTGGGATGGATAGCAGTCATGGAGGACCACAGACATGCCACCTACAAGGCTTCCCAGTGCACCAGCCAAGGTCCTCTCTGCTTTCCAAATCCACCCGCAGGCTGTCTCCACCCCCCCCCCCGAGCTGGACTAAGGGTTTCTCAATGGCTCTGCCCCAGCTTTCCCAGGCTTGGGCACAGCATCACATCTCTGAGAGCACATGGTCCCTCCCACCCGCTCATGCGCCTGCAGAGGTACTTCCTGTTGGCAGAACAGACTCGGGAGAAAATAAAGTTTGCCAAAGTGGCTTCCATCCTACCTACGTGGGTGGGTTCCCAGATGTGACCCCAAGTACTCAATTCAGTTGGCACAGGTCCCTCAGTGCCTTGTACACACCAAAAACAGTCTCCAGGACAGGAAAAAAGTCCTCTCACATTTGACCTTAAAGATTCGAGGTTCCTCTACAAATCTGTTGTTTCTGCAGAACTGACTGTGCTAATGTTACTGCAATGCCAAACCACGATGGCTGCTCAAGTGTGTGAGGTTCCTAGCTGCCTGCTCTTCCAGGCCCAGCCAGGTTTCCCCAACCCCCAAGCTAATCAGGATGCTTCTGGGACCATAAGACGGTCCCCTGGAGTCCATTCTTTCCTACGTTATAATGTTTGTTTTTAATCAAGATTAACTTTTAATTACTATTGTGTGAGAGTACCACTTGCGTGGAGGTCTGAGGACAACTCTGTGGAGTCGATTCTCTCCTCACACTTTTTCACGGGTGCTGGGACTCAAGCTCACTTGGTGGCCGGCCAGCCCTCATTCATTGCAATGTACTGACTGCTATGTATGTGAGAGTATTACAGGCACCAAGAACTTATTAGTGAATAAGCAAGACTGTAATCACTGTTCTGGAACACAGGGAGGAAACGATAGGTTAAATACAGAGCACGTGTATTATAACGTGCCGTGCCGTGTGAGGAAACCAAGCGACGGGAAGACAGCTATTTCAACATGGATGGTCAAATAAGAACCTGCAGGTATGCGAGTGAAGACCTGAAACGCACGGAGACCATGCCATGCAGACATTTGCATTCCCAGGCTTACTCTTACTCCACTCTCCTCCACACAAAGACTGCTACCATCGTGTGTGGCCAGCATGGATGCCATGGGCTCTTAAGCCAAGAAGATGCTGGTGAAGAGGATGGTTAAGGATGTTGAATTAGGCCAGCTATCTAGAGAACAAAGGAACCCAGCACCTTGGCCCACATGCTGCCCTGCTATATGGTTTTAGGTGTGACAGGCTCGATCCTATCCCACCACTGCGCCCTCTCTAAGACTTAGCTCCGTATTCATGAGACCTCACTGGTCAGGCCACTGTCCACACTCAGGCCACTGTGTCAGCTCACCGCTGGTTCTTTGGGCCTCTCGTCTCCTTTAAAGGCCCACCTATGTGTCCCACTGGCCTCTTCCCTAGGGGGAGAGTACAGAAGCTTTCACCTTCTCTGAGCTTCTGAGCTGATGTGCTGTCCTCGAACATTAACACATTTGCTTGCCTTAACTCCCGCCAATCTCTTTATTGCCAACCCCTCTTACTGGACATCTGGAGAGCAGAGGGTAAGTCCCGTCATCTCTATGTAGGCCACCATGCCTCTGTCATCTCTCCTTCACTGTCTGCGTGAGAACAAGCATACACCATGCAGATGAATAGGCCTGTCTGTGTAGAGGGTCAGACCTGACTCATGGCCACACCGTGTGCTGGTCCCTGCTCTGTGAGGATGCAGGAGAACCTCTCCTTACCATTTGACATCAATTTTCCCATCAAATTACACGATAAATTGTTTTTTTTTTTCCCTCAAAAGTCCTTGAATTGACACATGGCTTCAGAAAGTAATATTAAGTAGAGAAAGTAATCTCTGCTAGGTTTGCACTTTCTTGGGGACCATTATTCTTTCAGATACAGACACCGTGGTGAGTGACACACTCCTCCATTCTGAAACTTCATCCTGCAACATGTGTTTTAGTACAGTTCCCAGGAGCGGGCAAAAGAATCATGTTCTTCCTGTCGCCGGGGGCAGAGAAAGTGGAAAAAAATCAAGCAAATGAGAAACTACAGGCTTTTTCTCCAGGAGATGGAACCTGAGTCTACCTTGCTGTGGTTACTCTGGTTAAGGGACCTCTGGGCTGCTGACCACAGATTCCATATGAGCACATGGGAGCCCTTACAAACTAGCCCTGGATGGACCGAGCCTGAACCTGGAGAAACACAAGCCAACAGCTCAAATTTGGAAGCATTTTGCAAACCTACAGAGCCATCAGTAAAAGGGCCTAGTCATCACTAGGATTCATTTCCTCCCTCCCTCCCTCCCTCCCTTCTTTTTCTCTTAAAAGAAATAAATAGACAGGTAGATAGATAAAGATAGATGATAGGCAAATAGATATAGGTAGATGATAGACAGGTAGATAGACAGGTAGACAGATATAAATAGATGATAAGTAGATATAGATAATAGATAGATAGATAGATAGATAGATATAGGCAGAGGATATAGATAGATGATAGAGAGTGACTGAGTGTGTGTGTGTGTGTGTGTGTGTGTGAGAGAGAGAGAGAGAGAGAGAGAGAGAGAGAGAGAGAGAGAGAGAGAGTACATGCAGAGGTCATAGAAAACTCGTAGGGATAGGTTCTCTCCTTCTACCATGTGGCTTCCAGGAATCGAAATCAAGGTCATCAGACTTGGGGTGTCCTCAGACTTAGGGTCACAGCCAGGTTTGGCCACCCATCATCAGTAAGCCAATTAAGAGAGCTACATAAGTGGCGTGACCCTTTAATGTGGTCTCCTTAAGCGCTCTCTCCAAAGGGCCTAAAACAATGTGTCCTTTGACTTCCCTGGGCTCTGTTGATGCCTCTTCCTACAGAAGGTCACCTCGCGGTACGTTTTAACTCCAGTTTCAGGGGTGTCGTCCCCGTCCCCAGATAGTTCGAAGGCAAAGCCCTGAAACCTGGAGCTGAGAGCTGGTGCTGGTTGTGCCCCAAGCCAATGGGGCACAGCTGCTTCCAGCCAATGCTTAAGAGCACCCCACCCCCACCCCTCACTTCTGCCCTTCTTCTCCACCTCAAATACTTGTGGGAAACTCTCTAGAGGACTGAATGTGTTTGGAGGTGGAGGCTCATTCCGTTTAAGAAGAACAATGCAAGGGCACTGCTGAGCAAGTCTCCAGCCCCGCCCTGCGGAGGTGCTGCGCTCTTGGGGTGGGTGGGGTGGAAAGTTTCTCCACGAGTGATCCATGACAAATTGCTGTGTCATTTTCCACCGTGTCTTCGGGAAAACCAGGGCAACTGTCACTGGCTCCCGTTTTGATAACGGACATAATTCTCTCTTGGGCTTTTTATAATACAGTGCTCCCCTCCCCCTCGTGGCTCGCCTAACAGCACTAAGGTTTACGAGGCTTTTCCTGGTGAATAAAGCAGGACTCTGAAGTTGGACAAAATCCTTGGTCTGTATCTCAACCCTGACACTTGCTGATTTGGGGCCAATAATTTAAATTCACAAGCTCTTAATTTCCTTCCTTTGTAAAAGGACACTATTTTATGATGTATTGTGCCCACTGTGCATTAAATAAATAGTAAGTGATAGCATTACGGTTCTTGTGCTGAGGTAATATTGGGACTAGGCAGTATTGAATAGAGGGGGAGGCAGGAAATCCCTAATTTTTGTGTATGTTCCAGGTCACCAGTGTCCTGCAAATACAGCAGGGTCCTAAGATCTCGGGCCACTGGCAAGTGGAGGACGTGCAGGTGTAGGCTGTCTGGCACTTCAGAACGAATGAAAGGAAACTCCTAAGAGACCAGAGTAAGAAACAGCATCAAGGGAATCCAACAGTTCTGTGTGGTCAGAGTTTAACCTCTGGGAGGCTTAGCTGTGTGCATTACAGGATTAATAAATACGCCTGCAACAAAGGGGTGGAATTAGAAGAAACCGTGCTGAGTGAGGTAACCCAGTCACAAAAAGACCTACATGGTGTGTACTCACTCATATACGGATTTTAGACATAGAGCAAAGGATCAGCAGCCTACAATCCTCACTGCCAGAAAAACTAGGAAACAAGGAGGACTCTAAGAGAGACACACATGGTGCTCTGGAGAAGGGAAGGGGGCAAGATCTTCTGAGCAAATTGGGAGCATGGAAGGAGGAGAGAGGGGGTTAGGAGAAAGAGAAGGGGAGGAGGACATGAGGGAGCAGGAGAATTTAGTCAGGGAAAGAATAGAGGAGAGCAAGAAAAGAGAAACCATAATAGAGGGAGCCATTATAGGTTTTAAGAGAAATCTGGCACTAAGGAAATGTCCAGAGATCTACAAGGATGACCCCCAACTAACAATCTGAACAATAGTGGAGAGGCTACCTTAAATGCCTTTCCCTGATAATGAGATTGATGACTACTTTATATGCCATCCTAGAGCCTTCATCCAGTAGCTGATGGAAGCAGAAGCAGACACCCACAGTTTAACGCTGAGCTGAACTCCTGGAACCCAGTTGCAGAAAGGGAGGAGTGATGAGCAAAGGGGTCAAGACCAGGCTGGAGATACCCACAGAGACAGCTGACCTCAACAAAGGGGAGCTCATGGACCCCCAGACTGATAGCTGGGAAACTTTCATAAAACTGACCCAGACCCCTTGAATATGGGTGTTATTTAGGAGCACTGGGCAGTCTATGGGGCCTCTGGTAGTGGATCAATCCTTATCCCTAGTATAGGAATAGACTTTGGGAGCCCATTCCACATAGAGGGATACTTTCTCAGCCTAGACACATGGGGGAGGGCCTAGGCCATGCTCCAAATGAAAAGGCAGACTTTGATGATCCCCCATGGAAGACCTCTCCCTCCCTGGGGAGCAGAAAGGGGATGGGATGGGGGTTGGGAGGGGGGAGGGGGGAAGGGGAGGGTGAGGGAACTGGGATTGACATGTAAAACAAGCTTGTTGCAAATTTAAATTAAAAATATTATAAAAGTTAAAATAAATATGCCTGCAAACTTGCATGAAAGGACGTGTGTGAGCATGTCTCGTGCACTGAGTAAAATGGAAGAAGCAATGTTGCCACGCAGTGTTTTAGTGTTTATGACGGCTTTTGCTGCATTACTCTTTGCACATGCCTGATGCATGGGATTAGAGCTATAAATAACCTGCTTCATCAAGGTCCTGCTTGAACAAAACATCTGGTTTACAAGACACTTCCAAGCATTTTAAGGACACTCATGTAATACATCCTTGCAGCTGCAAGCTCGCTTGTACAGTAGTATTGACTTGGAGTACTGAGTTTGTCTACCATGTTTTATGGTGCAAATGTCATACAAGGTAAGACAGACAGGAAGGGTGTGAATATAAGTGGCATTCACATACCTCAGAAACATACGGAAGAGATTCTTCCCTTATACCCATTTCGATTTGGATATGAACTGTCCCCCACAAGCGCACGTTTGAGTACTTTCCAAGAGTGTGGTGTGATGTTTTTCTTCCACTGAGTCTAACACCACTAAACTTCTGCTTTCCCTGCCCAAGTCCCTTCTGTCCCCTTCTCTGCTCGTTCAGCAGTGTCTGGGAGATGCCCTCTCTGCCCCTAGAGTGAAAGGATCTCAACTGGCATGGGGTGAATATCCAACTGCTTTCTCTAAATCACCCCAGAGCTTCACCGCTTCTAGGGAGTTTTAGTTGGGATCCACCCGCCCCCCCCCCTTTTCCAGTGTGTCTTTTTATATATAAAATACAAGAAAGGTAGCCATAAAATTATATGCTTCTCGTGGAGTCAGAATAAAAGAGCAAAATTTCTGTGAGAGGATGATTTTAGCCCCCAGACTCCCTTGCCTGCTCAAATATGGCATGCACAAAAGTGACATTTATCAGAGCAAGGAAAAAAAATGTTATCTCTGTGTGTTTTGATGGTAAAACTTTGACCCCGGAGGCTAAGCAAACAGCCAAGTTCTGTCTCTTTAATTCAAAGATTTCTGGCAGCAGATAAGAAAAGGGCCTTGCCTGGGTTAGACTGGAAGAACAGAATCCAGCAGGCTTGAGTGGCTCGAGTGAATTGTTAATCACAAGGAAGGAAGAAGAAAGGACAGGCTCACTGGGCGTCAGGCTCAGTCTGGCTTCTGTGAAACAGCCACGTGGGTCCCTCCAGGCTGCTGGGCCCAGCACTTGTCTGTGGGAAGCCCACTTTCCCCCAGGAACACTGACAGCCGGGCCTCTTCCCTTCCTCCCCGCCCCCCTCTTCTCTGCCTTCTCCTTTCTTTCTTTCTTTTTTTTCTTCCCTTTCTCCTTCCCTCCCTTCTGTTAGCTATGGGGTGAAATCAGGGTGTCCTTTTGTGGGTCCTTAGCCCATAGGACTGGAGAGGAAGCTTGAGAACAATTTACTGGAGTTTGGGAGGAAACAGAGCGGTAGCGGGCCAGGAGGAGAGAGATGGAAAAAATAGAGGAAATCACGGCACTTGACAGCAGTCATACGGTAGAGTCGGGGAGGCTTCAGATACAAGACTGAGAGAGCCTGAAGCCTAGAGGAAAGTGTGCGCAGGCTTTAAAAAAAACAGACTTGAAAAAAGAAAAAAGGGAAAGTTATACTCTCAGAGTAACTCAGGGAATCAGGCCAGTTTAGTAGAGCTATAGTCAGGGTCTCTTCAAGTGACTGCACAGGGCTAGGGTCTGGGGAAGGGTTACGTACATGATCTCATTAAAGGGATAATTATTCCCTCCATCTCCTTAGCACGGCTTTTGGTATCTTGATGAGGTGATCAACAGGCCCAGCTACATTACCTTTTTATTTTATTTTATCCTATTTTATTTTAAGCTGCATTAACTCTAAAGGGAGGACACAATAATGTGTAATGTTCTAATCTCTAAAACTGACCTAAATGTTATGTCTACTTGAGAGTCTGAGGTATATTCCATTCTTTTAACCAGGAGTTAATAGCTTTCCCTTCCTGTGCCTCAACAAACTCCTGATCTCTACCTACAAAAACTCTTCAGATTGCAACAGGTTCACAAGGGCTGAGACCCTAGCTGGGTATGATGCCTTTATCCCAAGTACTTGGGAAAATACACCCTGGCAGATCTCTATGAGCTCAAGGCCAGCCTGGACAACATGCTAAGTTCTAGGTCAGCCAGTGCTACGTAGTGAAACCCTGCCTCAAAAAAAAAAAAAAAAAAAAAGTTGAGACCGTAAGGTCATTTGGGAGACGAGTTAAAACTGGAAACTAGATATAACTCAGCTCCACCCTGGGAATCCAAAGCTGGTCACCAGAAAGGATCCGAGTGTCTGCATCCTCATACCTGCATACCTCCAGTGCTCATTTAGGAGGAGAAGCCAGAGTCCCTTCCTGGCATCTCTGTCTCTGGCCAGGGACCCATCTACCAGCTTCTGGAGCATGGCTCAAGGGCAGGAAGTCAACAAACCTCTGATCTAGAGGCTCTGGCATCTGCTGACACTATTCCTCCGCAGGGGCAGTAGCCATGACGGGCACAATGGTGGCATGGGCAGGGTTAGGCAGTCACTTGCAGGAAGGAACAGTCCCTCAGCAAGGTTGTCATGAGGTCCCCAGGCAAGGCCTCCGAGAGGAAAGGACAGTCATCTTCGGGACTTGTAGGACTCTTCACCGAGTCTGACATAAGCATATCCAGGCTGGCTCTCAGAGGCAAACATGCGCTCTGGGAAACATTGACATTTTCTTTATGTCCTGCCTTGCTTACTAAGTGCTGGGATTACATGGTGTGCATCATCAATTTCTCCCTTTTAAAAAACGAGAAAATCTGATTTAAAAAAAAAAAAAAAGAGCTTCATACCTTGCTCAAGGTCACATAACTAGTGAATGTCAGAACAAGATTGTCTCCTGATTCAGTAACATTTCCAGGAAAGTGGCCTTGGGACAATGACACTGAATAACATGACACACAAGCTAACACAAAGAGCAGATGTGCAAAGCTAAGCAATGCGGAAGCCACAGATAAATGTCTCCTGTTACTTCCAAACCATTTTCTCCAAAGATAATTTTTTAAAGTTTAATTCCTATTTTCCAAATTAAAGGAGGTGGGGGTGGGGAGGATAAAGAAGATACCAAACATAGTAATACTGTGCAAATCAACAAGTACTTAAAAATACCCCAGGTATAATTATAAAACACATTTGGACGACAGCGTGGTAAACCATTGCTGTCTCTATCTGCGATTCCTGGTGCACTGTGAAGCTTGCGCCTCTCTCTGTCTGGGCCTGTGGGTAAGGGTGCACGGGCAAGCTCCACCTCCTCACAGAGGGCTGTCTCCCCGGGGCTTGTGCGATTGCAGGGGTAATTACCTAGGCATGTACAGGACTCTCTCGGCCACCACAAAGCCCACCCTGAAGAAGAGGTTGCTGGCTGGAATGAACGGGAACACGAGGAACAGCAAGCCGGCCAACACTTCCTTGTGCTCCAGCCTCTGAAACACACAACAGGGAGAGGTCGTGTGGATCTCTGCTCAACTCTGCTCCAACAGCATGTAGCAATCTCACCTTCAGGCTCCCATCTGATGACTGAGTGGCCGGGCACATCAGGGGGCCGAGCTGACCGCAGAAGACCTGGTTACACATCCATCTGTGCCCGATACACACCTGTTGCCAAGAGACATCTGACGTGGGCACGGCTGGCGGTGACCAATGGCCATCGCTCTGGGAAGTCCGAGAACTTTGCTGTTCAGCCTGTCCCCACCCGTCCCCCCACAACCTCAGCACTGCACAGAGGGGAAACCCAGAGCCGGGCGCTGGGATACAGTGGCACCTGCTCTTAAAGGAGAGCCCGAAAGGAGAGCTCTTAAAGCAGGAGCCAAGCTTTGCCTAAAAGAAATGCTGTTCTGATGGCAAATCTAAGGGGGGAGGGCGGGGAGCAGCCAAGCTGCAGGTTTCTTGGTACCACTCAACTCAAGCTAAAGCAGCAGGTTTTTTATTTGGCTTGGGTTTGTTTATTTATTTATTGTTTGTTTGTCTTGCTTGCTGGCTGGCTGGCTGGCTGGCTTGTTTTGAGACAAAAATCTCTTACTGTAGCCCTGGCGGTCCTTGATATACAACAATCCTTCTCCCATAGCCTCTCCAGTATTAGCGTCATAGGCATGGGTTACCAGGACTGGCTGCAAAATTTCTTAAATTAAAAAAAAAAAAAACCATACACACACACACACACACACTACGAGCTGGGCAGCTGTGGTACACACTTTTGATTCCAGTACTTGGGAGGCAGAGGCAGGTGGATCTCTGAATTTGAGGTCAGCCTGGTCTACAGAGTGAGTCCCAGGACAGTCAGGGCTACACAGAGAAACCCTGTCTCCAAAAACAAACACAAACAAACAAAAATGATAATGCTCTCACACACCCAAACACAACATTCAAAGCTGATCCCTGGGGGGTTGGTTACAGCTGCCTCTTTCCTGGCTCCACACACTCAGCCAGGACCCCTTACAAAGCGCTAAGAAGAAGGGTCAAGGGTCAAGGTCCAAGTCTCCCCGGAAACGAGCATATACTTCCATATCTCAGGGTGGAATACCATTTATTCTCCTAGACTGGTATTAGAGGGACGAGCTCAACTGTGGCAGGGTGGCTTCAGCAACACCATCCTGGCTGCCCTGTACTCTGCTCGCTCAGGCTGATGTTGTCATTTCCTGACTTTCTTGAGCGCTGACATTTCCTGGTAAATGCTCACGGAGTAAGAATTTAAAGGGGAAAACGAATGGAGAGATTATATCCACTCCGAGACAAAAAGAGAACACATAACTCCACGCCTTCTCTCAGCCAATTTAAACACTGCTTTTTCCCAGCCAAGAGGCACCGCCAGATTCCTAATGAACTGGAGAGCTGGAGGGTGGGTTGAATCACAGCATTCAAAACCTGACATTTTGGATTTCTGGTCTTTGATTTTGAACCTTGGTTTTTTTTTTTTTTTTTCCCCAAACAAAGCTTTTTGTTTGATTTGTATTTAATTAACGGTGTGAACTTTCTTGCCAACACTGGTTCCCAAGATTTCCACTTCTTATCTCATTCCAGTGTACAATTATACAATTACACACAGAGTCAGACGAGGTGAGGTGCCCACGTGTCCAGGCTGCCTTACTCTGAGCATAAGCTAATTCATAACTTTACTTGGAAATGTAAAGTCAGATTTTTGCTTAAACGTGTTGTTAAATGTTTAAAGAAAAATTAAGGCAGACATCTTCAAAGGTAACTTACAGGATAGGTACAAAAACATGCATTTGCTTTAAGCTTGTTAAGAAGGATTTTAGAGAAGTCAGGGAAGTAGAAAATTCACTCAATTAGAATGGAAATATTTCAGTAATTTAGGGAGACATGGGGGAGTCAGAAAAGACTGTCTCCCTTACCAGCTTTGGTTCTGAGCAAACAGGAAAACAGCCTGTGTGCTCACCAGTAAGGACACGTGTGAGGACAGAGGTCACACTGGGTATCTTTCTCGACAGTTCACTTTGTTTTTGAGACAGTCTTCTTGGGAACTTGAAGCTCAGTGCTTGGGTTATGCTGGCTGCACAGCGAGCCCACAGGCTCTACCTGGCTGACTCCCAGCACTGGGGTTACCAGCACACACTACTAGGCTGCACTTTTATGTGGATTGTGGGAGTCCAAATTCAGGTCTTCATAAGCACTTTATGCACCAAGCCATCTTTCCAGTCCAACAGACTCCCAGACTCTTTCTAACCACAAAACAACAACAACAAAACAAAACACCCAAGAGAGACCTGACTAACCCCTAAGCTTGTCCTCTTATACATCCAAATATACAAGTGTAGGTGGAAATGTCAGGGCCGGAAGTCAGATAGATGTTCCAGCATGGAGGAAGCCACATGAGGTGCTGCATGGTCAAGGAAATCTCAACCCTCACAGCACCTGACAGAGGGCAGCAGGTGAACACAAGCCTAGGTGTCTTAGTCTACACAGCACTGCTCTTTGTCAAGGAATGGTTTGAGATGGCCATTACTCTCCTGAAACCCAACGCCCGAGACCAGACACGTAACATATACATGCTTGCTGACTGAAGCCACTTAAGACATAAAACTCTGGGGGCAATGAGATGGCTCAGAGAGTAAAGGTGCCTCCACCAAGGCTGATAACCTGAGTTTGATAACCGGGGCCCATGTAATAGAAGGGGAGCATTAACTCCTACAAGTTGTCTTCTGACTTCCACAGACAAGCATGCCAACATGTGTGTAAGCACTGGAGAGCATGCAAACACGCAAACACACACACACACACACACACACACACACGCTTTACAAACTGATGAGCATGACTCTTCTGGGAATGTGATATGACTGATGCTCAGGGTTCACTCAGACAGAAGGGACTCAGCAATGAGGAGGAGCTTGGAGGAGTACAGTATGACCTCATCGGATACCTGGGCTTCAGGAAGTGGGTCACATGTGCCTAAATGAGCTTGTTTGGTAAAATGGCAATGACCATGATCACTTCTGGCTAGGGACTATGCCTTTAATACATGACCTTTTATTACAGACCCAAACTCGTGCAACCACAAAATCCAAGGTCAACAAAAGTAACTTCACAAGAGTGTCTCAGGAAGGGAAGCAGGGAGGATCAAGGGTGGATTTAAATGCAGCACGGTGGCCACTGGCTCTGCTTCTGCTGGGGCTGAGGAAGAAGGCAGAGCAGGAACCAGAAGTGTTTCCTAGGCCACTTTGTCCTGTGGATGTGTGTGGCTGGCAGAAATGTTTCTTACCTACCACACTTGTGCAGGGACATCTACTAGGCAGGCCATCTACTACCCCCACAATGCAGGATGCCATCAAAATCTACTAAGCAGCCCCCCCCACCCCACCCCATGCAAGATGCCATCGGCATCTTTCTGCCAAGAAAGAGACAAGAAGCTTTTCTTGTCTTATTTTCGGAGAGCTGTGGCTCATCTACCCACATGGAACTGCCTCAGAAGACCAACACTTGTCCTGTACTCTGGGATTAATGAGGAGGAGGAGATGCAAGCTGCACATGGTTGTGCTCTCCCAGTGAAGACTAACTGGCTTACAGGAGCATCCCTTAGCAATAACTTACCCTGCTCTACAAGACAGACGGCAGATTTGGGTCTGGCTTACTTCAGGTCACTCGGCGTGAGTGACAGGACCTTATCGTGAAGGAAAGGACACTGAGACCCAGGTGTCATCAGGTAGATTTGGTCTCTGTTCCGGGCCAGGGCCCTCACCCAGAATCCACCAAAATGTGTTGCAATTCAAGGGACATGTCCCGTTTTTCTGCTCCTGAGGCGTGCGGCGGGGAAAGCCTGATGGATAATTCTGTTCTCGCGGAGGCAGTTAAAGGGCTTTCTTCACAGTTTCCGCCCTGGCACTCTCCCCTCACTGCTCACTGAGGGTTCAGGTTACCACAGCTTAAATTTACTGGACTAACGGCATGCGGCAAAGGATGGAAAAGCAAGCCTTTGCGCTTTAAAAGGGTTTCAAACACCTGTAATTTCCCAACATGTACATGCCAACATGTCCACTTCTTTGTTTCAAAGCAAGGGAGAGAGGCCCGCCAAAGGGCCTGTTTCCATCAAACACTTGAATGTTTAGTGAGGTCCAACATCAAAGGATAAAACTGACCCATCGTTGTAAGGCGGGGTCGTGTTTTTCCTGGGGAATCCTAGTGAAGTTCAAAGAGAAAAATATTCTTGACAGGAGAATCAAGGGTAATGTGCTTCTTTAGCAAGCGTTGGTGTTCAATTATGCTGGTGTGATGAGAGCCTAAATCTATGAAAACTCAAGTTTATTTGCCAAGTTGCTCAAACAAGCTGTGGAGCCTGAAACGGAGGGAATTTTCAGGGCAGTGCCAAGGAGGGCAACATTAGTCAATGCTCTCCCTTCCCAAGTAATTGTTGTTCAATAACAAATGTCAGACTCCTGGGTTACAAGCCCATAGCCAGTTTGGCCACGTGGACTAGCCAGATCCTCTTGCACACACTCGAGGCCTCTGGCAACCACAGCCAGATGGCTCACAGAAATGGAAGCCTGCCTTTGACAAGACTTTGCCCGAATGTATGCTGGCTTCATGAAGCTCCAGGGAATTCCCTCCTCTGCCCCCCCCCCCAGCTCTTCTACCAGAATCTTCCATGATTCAGGGGCTGGTAACTCATTTGTAACCCTAGCATTCTGAGGCCTAGAGTCAGAAACAAAACAAAACAAAACACAAACAAACAAACAAACAAAAAAAACCCAAATAAAGAAATCCCCCTAGCTCCAGGATAGACTGGGCTACATGAAACTATGTCTCCAAATCTAAGAAAGGAGTTTTCCAGGAAAGGTGCCCTTTGTAGTGACCACGTGGCAGGGCACTGAGGACTCTGGCAGATCTCTGCTCCTACAGCAGCAGTGAAGCAGGTGAAAAGCTTTTACTTTTTCTGGGTGTGGCGTCACTTCACACACAGTTTGGAAACAGC